AAAAAAAATACAACTGAAAAAGTTACAACCAATTGTATGGAGAATTAAACTACATCCAATTTTGCAGGATGCATTAAATATTGATTAGATTTTATATGAAAAATAAAATAAAAAATAACTGTAATAGTTTTACGTGTTGCAATATTTTATATTTGAAAAAATAAAAAAAATCTTCTTTTACGTGTTGCATACCAACATTTTAGGAACTACATGAATATTCCTAAATTAATATTGCATACTCAATATTTTAGGAACTAATTAAATGCTAATTTGATTTGCATACCCAAAATATTAGATGCATTAATTAAATACTTAATAAAATTAGAAATTCATTAATTAAGTTTGATTTTTCTAACTACTATATTTAGTAAATAGGATCCCTTTAATATAAGTATAGATTATAGAAGTAAAAGATGATAAGTGTTGATCAGTTTACTAGATTCCACTCAGAATGAACTTTTAATAGAAAGATGAATTAAACTTGTTAAGAGTGAAATTATAATTTTTGGGATTTCAGTTCGCAAAAAACTATTTCTAGTGGACGGGAAAAGGTTTAGATTTTTAATAAAGAAATAAATCAATGAATTTGATTAATTATAAATCATGGAATCAAGCAAATATACAAAATAAATTATTAAAAATAATGAAAATCTTTGTAAACAAAGCTATATGATCCTCGTAAGAGCAACTCCAACAAAGGTGTAATGTCAGTTCAAAAATTTTGATCCCCTGCCCACGGTGGGCAGTGCCCACCACTTTATTTTACATATTAATTTAATTGAAAAACGTATTCTCAGAATACGTTTTTCATGTAAAATAAAGTGGTGGGCACTCCCACCGTGGACAGGTGAGCAGAACTGGTCAGTTCAATGTCAAAATTATGTTTGGCTTTATTGGTGGAGAAGGTGTAAAATTTTGCACCATTTCTTCTGCCTTCAACGGTGAAAAAATAGGGCTCTTTGTCCAATTCGACTGCAATTGTCAGCCATTTTTTTTTCTACACTATTTTGCAGCCTTTATTTGCCAATTGTGGGGTAGTTGTTGGTCCAAGGTTATTTGAGAAGTGAGTGTAAAGTTGTTGGAAGAGAAAATGTAAAAAAAGAGGATTGATAGTAGAATGTTGACGTGGCATTAAAAAGTGGTATAATGTTGGTTGATTGGTGGAGATGCCCTAACTGGTAAGTAACATGTGAATCTTCTCAAGGGGTGTGTTTGTTTATAAATTATCTCTATTCTTACTCAATTTATGCATAAAATCTAACTCAATCCAGGTATCAATAATAATTTTAACTAACTATCACTTCATATCATATCTCTCATACTTTTATATCAAATCAACTTTATTTTATTTTAAATATTATTTAATATAAACTCAAAACTCCACTAACAACTAATCTTACAGTTTATTTTCTAAATGAACTTTGGTTAATAAAAAAACTCATTTTGAGCGGATATATTTGTATCCAAACATGTCTAAGTAGGTATTTTGTAGTTTTTAGGTTTGTAGTGGATTGAGAAAGATAGGGTGTCCTTTAGATTTCTCTTTAGTACTATTATCAATCAATTTAGGTGATTTTTTCTCTTACGTGAATTTTGTTCGGATCAACACACACACACCAATATGCATGCGTCAATCCTCGTTATAGACCCAGTCTCCTTGCTAGGCTTGCACCACTAGTCTACCAATAACCAAAGCCTACAATTTTAAACGGCACGACTCACATAGGCGGGTCCAATTCTCTTAATTTCAAATAGCAAATTCGGGTACCCATAAGAGTAGACCATGGTAAAGATTATCAATCAATTTTGGGTGAATTTTCTTCCCAATGCTGAATTTTATTCGAACCAACACATACCCATATATATGCATATTTGACACCTCACATTGAAGGGTCCAGTTCTCTCAGTTTCTGATGACAAATTTGGGTACCCATAAGAGCAAAACCATGGTAAAGTCTGTCAATCGATTTTGGGGTGAATTCTCCTTTACATGCCGAATTTTATCCAAGTCAACACATACCCATATGTATGCGCACAATGTTAGGTGACACGGTTCACATCGGAGGGTCCGATTCTCTCAGTTTGTAATGGCAAATCCGAGTACCTATAAGAGCAAGACCATGTGGTGTTAGCAACCGTCACTATATATTCTTAAAACTCCAACAATTATGTCAAATAAATCGCATTTGAATTAGTGAATTTAAGTTATGATATACGTACCTAGGAAATAATGATGAAGGGTTCTCTTAAATAACAAGACTCAGAGTGACGAATGAATTGTTATAGAAAACTTTATACAAATTAAGTACTTACGCTTCATGTGTATGATCGATCCCATCATTTTTCCTTATGCAATAATAATAAAATTGAATCAGGACAACTTTATAGAAAAAAAAAAAAAAAAAAAAAAAAAAAA